GAAGACCAAGAGACTCAAGGATAAGATCAAGAATTGAAGACATAGTCGAGTCGGTCTTATTGTGATCAAAACTGACAATCAATTCAAGTCTCGATTCTCAAAGAGTCAAAATAATTTTACAAAATCATAAACATATTTATGCATCAAATAAACGTTTTTTTAAAAGGTTTTAAATATTCTAAAAAATACCTGGTCTTTGCCCTAACCAAAACCACAAGGTTCAGCGTTCGTCGTTCGGCGTCCGACGTTTGGCGTCCGAACCATTTCAGTGGTTTTCAATATTATTTACTTCATTTTAACCTCTGGGCATATTTAAAAGGTTCCCAAAAAATTATTTTATAAAAACCACTTTGGTATTTTGGTCAATCGGTCTAACACGTGAAAATTGGTCAAAACCATCAACACGTGACAAACGACCTTGAGGACTTGGTTTTTTAATAAACAAGTCTTGGTTTCACTATTTTATACCAGATACAATATTTTTCAATCTTGGTTTTTACTTTTGGGAATAGTTCGTTTTTGGACCTCGGTTTTTCTAGTTGGGTTTTCGCCGGCTGGGTTTTACCTGAGTGATAATCGATTCGCACTTATTGACAATCGATTATCAACCGCTGCAGCTTTGAATTCCATGTTCAGAACCATCCAATAATCAATTGTCACAACTTCACAATCGATTATCACGGTTGGCTGCCAAAACCCAAAATTTTTAGAGAGGCTTGATAGTCGACTGACAGAATTGGACAATCGACTATCAGTGTTACCATTGCCCTCCAACGGATAGAATTTGAAATTTTTGGACAAGGAATCATTTGATAATCGATTATTATGTCTAGTCAATTGATAATCAGTCTGTGACTCTGAGTAAAGATAATTGAGCAGTAATCAATATGGGTGAGTTAGTTTTCACAGTTAATATAATTGCAAGTATGAGTAAAGATAAAAGAGAGAGACACGCAAACTTTAACGAGGTTCGAAGGTGAGGTAATCCTTCTACGTCCTCAAAATCCACTATGTAGTTGGTTGTTGAATAATGAACCAACAATTACACTTGTGTGAATTTCTGCACGGTATATCTTCGCAAGGCCAATGTTGCTACTGCACTCGTGCTGGCTTTGTTGTTCCTTCAAAGGTCACGCTTCTTCAACAACTGCAAGATCCGAACAATAGGACTTCAAGATCAACTTGTAAGAAAGTTGATGTACCCCCTTTTCAATCAAGAAGTTTGATTAAAAGTTATATCCTTCAACGTGGTGTGGTACTTGAGGCAAGGAAACCTTCAAGTGTCTATGGATGAGTTTAGAAATCTCTCTTTATCAAGCTTTTTGGGCTAATTGTGAATGTGATAGCTTTGTAGTTTGAGATTGCTTCGTTGTGTTCTTTACTTTCTATCTCATATTTTTCTCCAGTCTTCCAAGGATGCTATTTATAGCTGGATTGGGTAATCTATCCGTTGAATCAAAATAGACTATCCGTTGCATTTGCTTGCTTCAATTTTGAATGAAGATTGTGATGGAGGATTCATTATTGGAATGGGTGTTTTGGACATACCCAATTGTTTGAGGAGGGATTCCTTTTTCCACATAATCCCTCTTTTAGCGGTTTCTCAAGAATTCTGGACTGTAGCTCCTTACTCAGTTTGTCTTCTAGTGTTTGTTTAGGAATTCTGGGCGAGCTCTTCAATTTGAGAGGTCCAGACTTTGTCTTTAAGTCATTTGTTCTTGAATCAGCATAATTATCTTCAATCTAGCCGTTGGAAATCAAGAGATTGATTTTTCCTCACCAACGGGTAGAATTTCTTCATTCAAGACTTAGAAAATTTTCTAAGTCTTTTTCTCACTTGTCTGCTTTTGAGAATTTCGGTCTTTCTTTGAGGCATCCGGTTCTTTGCCGACAAATCCGGAAATGTCATTCATAGACTTCCAGGTGAGAAGAGATCCGCGCTAGTCTTCCGATTCGGATGACTTAGCCTTCAGCAGGTAGTAGCGAGACATCCGGTTATCATGTAGTGTTCTGGATTGCTTTGAGAATTCCTTACTTGTCTCTGATATTTGCGATCAAGATATCCAATTTCCATATCACTGAATTTGATTAAGTCTTCAACCATTGACATCAAACCACAAAGTGAAATGTCACAAATTTATTGGATATCTCAAGAACTCTGTTTTAACAATATTTCTAAAAACAAAAA